AACTTCAGAGACTTTACATTCTAGCAGGAGAAGGACAGCTTTATCAAAGTGCCAAGGTATTTCATTGCTTTCACAGTTGTTATAGAATTATGTATAGCAGAAAAACACTTTTGGGACAGGAAATAGCTGCCTGTTAAATAGCAGAACATCCCTTTCTGTCTTCTTGCTCCTCCTAGGAAGCAAATGCCACATGACAATGTGTCTTCATTTGTCTTAAGATCGAGATATTGGAAATCACATTCAATGTGGCATCATTACAAGGCACTGCAGTTACCCTTAAGGAAGCAATAAACTAAACTTTCAGTACTTAGCCATTAAAACTGGCAATGTCTTCCTTAGACAAAAGCAGACAACAGAAGTGATGTTACTTTCAATCCCCTTCCAAAAAGGAGTTCTCCTGCCGTGAGAAAAACAACCAAAAGAATTTGCACTCCACTGTTTCATTCTCTGACAAAAACTGGCTAATGCACCTACAGCTAAAACACACTTCCTTTTTCCTCCTACTTTAACCTTCAAAAAGAAACTCCAGTGCACTAAGTCTGTCGAACACACAGCTCTCCTTCTCCTGTCATTATGCACACATAATGGTACACCTAAGAGCCTCACTTAAGTCTAACCGAAATAGTTTGTCTGTTCCAAATGAAGAAAAGAGGAAGAGAAAGCAGCGCCTATGCTGGAAGGAGTTGTAAAATTGGATCCTTGTAAAATCCCAAAGAAAGCAGCTGCTTTCTTTTCTCCCTGCTTTCCCCAAACGATTGACTTACTTTCAGTCAATCTCATACTCCAGATATCATAGTTTACCTTTGAATTTCTTTCACCTTAGCTAGCTTCATGGTACAGCCACTACCAAAAGCCTACTGAAAAAAAAAAAAAAAAAAGAAAAACCACTACTGCTTCCTCCCTGCCCCAAAAACACACAAGTCCAGGGAACTGAAGGAAAAACCCCAGAGCAGCACAACACACTGGGTTGTAACCAGTTCTGCAGGAGCAGTCTGCCTCCCTGTGGCTCAGCTAAAATCAATCCAATTTCTGCAACTCATTCTATCGCACCCAGAAAATCTGGCAAGCCAGAGGCTTAATGGGCCTTTAGTCCAAAGTGTTTCAGAGCTGTTTTTTTTTTTCCACTTTTTTTTTTTATTTTTAATTTTTGTTTGGTTTTGGAGGAGGGAATATAATGAAAAAGAGGTTTCTAATTTTAAACATGGCAAAAAATATCCAGCTTTGATTGCCTAGTAACTGTTTTACTCTGTTTCTCTAAAGTGCATGAAGAGGAAGAGAGGAGGCACAGCAGTGAGGGAGAAGGAAGAGGTCTACATTAAAAAAAAACAAAAAAATCAAACCAGAACACCACCTTCACATAGCAACAAAAGCCAAAGCTTGTCAGTGCTTTAGTACCTAAATCCAGAAGACTCCAAACATTGGCTTAGCTGCCGCTTTGCCTAGCAGGCATCTCCTCTCAATGCCTCCGCTCACAACACTCAGTGCTTACAGGTCTCCTCCAGGGTACGCCCATGAGGACTTCACTCTTGGCAGCAATGAGGTGTTTGGTGCTTTCCTTCACCCTGCCTGAAGGGCTCCATTCAGCAGGCCTTCTGCTGTAATGCTTGGAAGGACAGGCTGTTTTGTTGTTTCATACCCAGTCGTCACTCATTTGTGGAAGAACTTAGTTGTTAAGGGACTCGAAACAAAACCCGAAACAAGTTAAATGATTTATTTCCAAATACACCAATTTTGATTCGCACCACTCTTTGAAGACTGGGGCAGTATCACTGGGGGATATCACCAGGGTGATTCCAGCTTGGGAGGGCACACATCATTTCTAACCATATTGAAGAAGCTGCTCTACTTTGTTCTGGGACACAGAGCACAAACTACATTTGCAGTGGGTTAAGAAATATGCCCACAAGAAGGAAAGTTCCAGTCTCCACTCCAAAGACTGTTTAATAAAAAGCACAGTAAGTGAGCACAAGAGCAACCCACATTTTTCAGTCTCACAACTCCTGGGCTTGCGACTTGCTTTCTTCTGTGTTACAGACTCTGTCTGTGGAACTATTTCACTAACCATTAAACAAGTGAGACAGACTTGCTCTTTCCAATCTACAACTCAGTGACCTGGCTGGACAAGGAGCAAGCTGAACCCCTGGTTCTCATGCTTAAAGTCACTCTCATTGGAGATTAAAAAGAATATGAAGGAGAAGTGATTCTGTCACCTCTAAGCACATTTGAATGAAAAGCTTCAACTTTGCCCCCTCTCTTCCTTTTAAGAAAAAAAGAAAAAGCAGTCTCATACCTTAAATTCCAGAAGTGGAAGAAGTAATTTCATCCAACTACTGCTTTGTGCCTAGTTCCAAAACATGAAATATTTCTCCTGCGTGTTATTATTATCCACATATTTATTAATGAGATGGCTTCTAGTTTGTGTGCTGTAGCTCCACTTGTGCACAGTCAGCTCCTTCTGTCTACCTAGCCAGAGCAGTGCATACAGGGCTATGGCTCCCACCACTGCTCCCAGAGGCTGAATGCTTGGGCAAGGATACTGCACACTGGAGCATCCAAATGGCTTGAAATGTTAGAAGTGAAGAACCAAAATATATAGAAGCTTACATCAACTCTGACACACCTCTACTAAGAAAAAAAAACAAAGCATTCTTCTCTGTTTCTCAGGTGTAAGGCCAGAAAAGGGCAAATATTTTCACCTCTTTTAAGGAAATGGGAACTGACTGTGTCTTCACAGCACAGTGTCATACCAAACAAGTCCGGGGTGTCCAGATAATACATCAGGTCTGAATATGGAAAAAAATCACTCTTATGGAAAAACCATTCTGTTTGTCTAACTAGATCTGTAATTAACATGCAAATTACTTATTCACGTAAATGAAGAATGATCCCCTTCTGGCTTCTGTAATTTTAGAGCCTCAACATGGCATACACTTCAATTTATAAGAAACGATGCTCTTCTGTAAGCAACTCTGTTTTCATTGCATTGGAATAGTGGAAAAGCAATGAAAACTACGTGAAGTCATACAAACCAAGAAATTTACTACAGCGGGGTTTCTGTTCATAAGTTTAAGGCAGTTTGTGCTGTTGCTTTGTACCAGGGTCTGACACTAAGTTAATAAGGCTTTTATCGAGATTCAAAAGCTATTACATTACACACATCTTCCCATACTTACATTTGCTAACCTACACTGAGGCCCAGGATTAAATTTTACGCTTCGCTGACAGAAAATAGAATCCTCAATCACCAATCCACACATAATTGTTAATTTCCCCACTTGTTTCTCATGGCCATAGTACCTATTTTGTTCCTTACCACAAGCTTAGTTTAAGCTTTCACATTTTTAAACCCAACACTGAGCTTCGGCTCATGCTTACAGAATACCTCATTTACTTTAAACTCATCTTTGCTAAAACTCTCCAATTACCCATATTGGTAAGGTATATTAAACTGCTAGCAGAATGATGACAAGTTACAAGGCTGAAGCAAGCATCAGGGATTGTAGATCTCTTCAACCCATAATAGAAAGTCATACTACTATCAATAAGGAATAGCAGCAGGTTCTAGTAGATTAAGCACTAGAGCTGTTCTCAGAAAAACTGGTTTCTTTTCTGTTTTATTCTCACCTGGTCTTCTAGGTGACCTTGTGCAAATCACCATCTCCATGCTGCCGTTTCCCCAGCAGTAAAAATGAATTGAGCTCAGCTACAAATCTGACTGGGAACTCAAAATGAAACATACTAGGAGTTAAAAAATCTATTTCCCTATCTGTGGATACATGCTCCTTTGATAGCTTTGCTTTATCCCATTATGCATCAGCAGTAGCGTAAGATTGCTTTTAGTTTCTAAACACACTCTGGTGGTTCCTCAAGAGAGGCTTCAGGGTACTGCCTTACTTTTTATCTCATGCTTCATCTATTTCCGCTACTGTATCTGCTCTGAGAACCTGTATGTAGGATACATGCTTAACACTGCAACATACTGCTGTGTCAACAGCCACTGTCCCGCAGACACAAGGGGCAAAGAAGAGGACACAATAGAGCACTGAGGCAGCCTGAGAGCGGTTCTCTCCCCAGACTCCTGTTCCCCTCAGTAACACCGTAAGTCAGCATGCAAGCTCCGCTCCCATGGCTTGCACAGGAACCAGTCAAGATCTTCGCCCGGAACACACACACTGACGAGCAGCACTGCATCAAAGTAACCCTACAGAGATCCCCGTGGCTGTGCTGGAGGAGCACCAGTTGGCTCACCTGCCAGCAGTGCCATTTTTAGCAAACAGCACGGCTCAGCCGCGGAGCGCTCTGCTCCTCACCCTCTGCCCATCTCTGGGTTCGCCTGGGAAATCTTTTACAAGAAAGCTCACTTTCCAGAGGCTTGGCCACCGCAGCAGGAGGGTTTGCGGAAGCTCCCGACTTTGGGGAGGCACATGCAAATCCACGCATTCACAACTCATTATTCCAAGCAGAGTTATGGGGTGAAAGACCCTGCCTCGCACCTCGCCCTACCATAGCACCGCTCTGACCCACGCCGATGGGAACGGCGGAGCGTTTAACTTCCCCCTCTTTCTCTCAACGATGGACCACCAAAGCACCTCCAAACGCTCTCCCAGAACAATACCAAGGGGAAAGGACCATTAAAACAAATAAAATAAAACACGACGAGCGGAGAAAGCCCGACGCAGCCCCGGCCCACGATCAGCCCGGCTCTCTGGAGGGCAGGAGAACCCCACGTAAGGAGGAGATGCCCAGGGTGGGAACGACGCCCCGTGCCGCCCCACTGCCCCCGGCCCGCGACGTGGCTCAGCGTGGTTGGGCGGGAGCCAGTCTGAAGTCCACCGAGCAGCCGCCCGCCCCGTGGAACGCGCTGGGGGCGGGAGGAGAAACATAAAAATAAAGGGGAAAGGGTGGGGAGGAGCGGCGCGGAAGGGCGCCCCCCCGCACACGCCGAGGGCGCCCCGCAGCCCGCCGGGGGCTCGCAGCCGGGCACGGCGCCTCGCGCTCACCTTCCTGCCGCCGCCGCCGCCGGCCAGCGCGGCGCTGCCGCCCGAGTACATGTAGTAAGCGATGCCCAGAACCCAGAGGAAGGCGAAGCAGAGGAGCAGCCGGGACCTGCGCCGCATCGTCCCCCGCGCCGCCGCCAGGCCACCAGGAAACGGCCAGCAGCAGCAGCCGCCGCGCCCGCCGCCACCGCCGCCGCGCAGGGTCAGGGGGCAGAGGGCGAGTGCCCGCCCCCCGACCAATCCCGCGCCGCCCGGCCCCGCGGGGGGCGGGGAAGGGCGGGGCCGTCGGCATCGCCATGGTTGCAGCACGCCGGGCCGCCGCCGCCGCCCCCCCGCGAGTTCAGAGAAGCGCGCCGCGCCTGGCGGCCGTCGGACAGACCCGGGCGGCGGCGGCGGGGTGCTCGCTGCTCCGCTCCTCCTGCTCTCGAGGCCCCTTAGGCGGACGGTGGGCCGGTGGTCCTCGCTACGCCTCGGAAAGGGGCGGCTCAGGGCTGCAATTCTAAGTTTAAAGGTTTTCTCCGTTGCCTCACTATGTTTTCTCAACGGGTGGCTTTATCACCGCCCATTTGGGCCCGACACCGCTTTTCTCTGCTCCGTCTGTTCGCGCCACTATCAGGCTTCTGCCGGTGCGTTTGCACGGACGGCCGCAGAGACCCTCTGGACTGCGAGTCATACCAGGGTGCAGCAGGGGCTCGGTGCTAAGTCTGCTGTGTTGGAGGGAAAAGAGAGAGCAGTCCAAAGAAACGGCACAGATGCTCACTTGCCTCTCCAGAGAGCCATGTCTGGCCTGGAACTGCCCAGGCAGAAGTCATCTGGTGTGCTCTCCTGCCTGCCACAGTCCCACGGGAGGGGAGGGATGGATGAAAAGTCAGAGGAAGAAATCAAAGCTGAGTAATTCCCATAGGAAGCATAAAATAACATCACTTCTTTCTTCTGAACAAATGACTCTTTCAAATAAACTCAACATTGTGATTCTTGATGCGGCTCTGGGCAGCCTGGTGTAGTGGTTGGCAACCCTGCAGGCAGGGGGATTGAAATTAGATGATCTTTGAAGTCCTTTTCAAGCCAGGCCATTCTATGATTCTTGTGTTTGAAGGGAGATAGAGAGAGGCATCAATTTGTGCAGAACGCAAACTTTGGAATCAAACAGCTGGCATCCCTTGAAGTGAGGTACACTGGAGAGTATGGGCTGCCAGGAGACACACACATGTTTAGGATGGGATTTTTTTATTTATCCAAAGAGCGTTAGATGCAAGTGAGCACCGTAACTGTAAAAACTTGCATCTGAAAAGGCACACACATACACACCACTCCAAAGGCTAAATTCTCATTACCAATGTTTCCAGTGTAATTTGGAGCAGTCTCAACAGTCCAGGGTTGTCAACATGCTAATAAACTCCAGCTCTGTCAGCTGGAGGTGAGATGGCGAAGCAGCTTTCCTACTGCTGTGCGGACTCCTTCGCCAGGCAGATGTGCTGGGGGGAAGAACACTGTTCCTTCTACGGCCCTGCAGAGAAAACTTCACACATGGATATGTCAAGTAATCAATTCTGGAGCCATAATCCCATTTAACCTTACACATTCTGCAGGCCACTTACTCTTCAAATGCCTTGCAAAGCCTACGGAATCTTTTCTTGCCCTTTTCATAGTCTAAAAGATGTTGAGACAGCCTTCAAAGGTCCTCCTGAAGCCTCAGGTATTTTCACTGATTTTAGCAATGTGCTTAGATAGATTTTTCCCTTTCCAGCAAAATTAGCCAGCCATGCATGTACAGAAAATCCTTCTGTAGCTGCACACTCCACAAGCTTACTGAAATAATCCACTGCACATGCTCAATCACAGTTTTCAAAGCCTTATAACTCAGGCAAATCAAAACTAATTTCCTCTTGAACAAGCAAAGGCACATCTACTTAAAGGAAGGCTACTTACATGTCAGAGTTCACTTCTCAGCCTTCTGCTGATAAAGTTGCAGAAATGCTCAAGAAATGCTGTAAGGATCTATTTAGCTCAAAAAAAAAAAAAAAAAAAAAACCACCACTTTTTCTTGCCTCTTCCCTCCTTCCCCCCACTCTCCTGATATTCTGAACTGGCTGAACCAGTTCTGTTCAAATCCTTCCAAATTATTCACATTTGGAAAAAGCCCAAAGCCGGAAGATTTCCTTCTGAAGCACTTTTATTTCAGTGACCACAGGAAACATAGAGGTTTAGGATGGAAAAATATGATATAGCTTTAACTCTAGGAAAAGCTGCCTGTTGTATTACGACACATTTGCATGCACATACCTCTTTGCCTCAAAAGTCCTAACGTGTTTAGTCAGCAAGTCAAGTCAGACACGCACACACACAAAAAAAGGCAACCTTCAATTAAAGCAAGGAATAGGAGAAAAAAAATGTAAAACATTTAAAACTGATTTTTTCTAGCACATTTCAAAGAAAATATTAGCATATTTTAAGAGCAGCATTGCTAGAATGATTCACCGAATTCAAATGCTTCTGTATCAACCACAGTGCTTTAAACAAAAGGGAGATCAATCATGTGAAAGTACAAATAGGGGTGAAATTTGCAGAAGGATTCATCAAAACTTTTTCTTTGATCTGTAATGCAGCACCTAGATTCAATGGGCCAAATCCTGCTCTCCTTAGCTAGGGTGTAAACAAGGGGTTATTTCACCACATACATTTGAGAGCAGGTATAGAAACAGACACAAGTAGGATCAGAGGCTAATTCAGGGTGTTAGCATTCACCTGCTTGTAACTAAAGACCACAAACATTGCTCATCCTTTTCTGGAGTGAAATGACCTACCTGGAGGTAAATGAATACTCCATCAGTGAGAACGGAAAGCAGTCCTCCCCTCTAGAAATAAGCAAATCAATCCCTTACTCACACACACGGTCTTGCCCCTGGAAAGATGAGAGTAAAGATCAGGTCTAAAACCCAGAAAATAGGTTTTAAACACTTTTAAAAGCCCAAATTCTGACCAAGCTGCCTGAATCTTTTTGATATACAGAAGCTAATGTTCATAACAGATTCATTTCAGATTATATTTTTTCAAAGTCACACAGTTATGTCAGAAGGTATATTATTCCCTCCCTCTCAAGAAAATGGTTACTCATTAGCCTGATGTAAGACGTGTTATAACAGAGAAACCACATATTAACAAGAAATGTAAAATACATCTGCAGGGATAAAGGTTTATTAATACATAGAGAGCTTGAGCTGAATACTCAGCCTGACTGAGTTTGTGTTTGTAGTGAAAGAATTGTGTTTGTAGTGAAAGATCCTGAACCTGCAAACGTTTATGCAAATGTTTAACTTCATTCAGTGCACATTCCCACCGGAGTCAGTCGGACTACTCAGATGTTTGAAATTATATGCTCATGGCTGAGTACTTGCAGGATTAAAGGTTAAGTGCAGCTAGCAGGTCTGAAAAATCTACGTGGGTGTTTTGCAATTCCTCACTGCACAGTGGCAACAATGAGACACAGCCTACCTCCTTCGTTAAAGACATGGGAGTCAGCATGTCCTTTCCCATCTGTTTAGATGACAAGAACTATGTTTGTTTAATTTTTTAGCACAGCTTCTGATGCTACCCAGAGTAGGCAGACATGCTGGCAATAGTGTTCTAGAGTGGCTCACTTCCAGAAAATCTTGTTACCCTCCAAGAACGCTGTTGGAGCTGTTAAAACCCCAAGCAGCAAATATTGTATCATACAAGTTTCACCTTGAGAACAGCGTGTCATCCTGCCTGACCAAAGAGTACACCTTGCAAAGCCAGAGTACTTTCAGGTCCATTAGAGCTGAAATTCTCTCTCTCTGCAGACTTTGACATCAATAAGGCAGTATCTTCGCTTTTAAAGCATGAAACAATGACTATTTCCCCTGGAAGAAGGTTTTTTGGGGTTTTGTTTTTTTTTTTTTTTTGCTTGTTTGTTTTTTTAATGCTGTTTCCCCACTAGAGATCAAATAATACATTATGTCATGTGATGCAGATAAAGCAAACACCATATTTTCTCGCAGAGGTTTACAGTGTCACCTTAAGTCCATGTTCTTCCAAGGCAAATAATCCGCATTTGGAAGTTCTTCTTCTTTAATAAAGTTGAAAGTTCAACATCCTTTGCAGTTTTGTTTTATGAACAGAGGAAGTAGACTCTTTTTTTTTCCTTGCAGGTGGTGAAAGCTAAACTGTTTTTTGGCTAGGATAGAGTTAACTTTCTTTCTGGTAACAGGTTCACTGCTATGTTTTGCATTTTGGTTGGAAATAATGTTGCTAACCCAACCCTACTTAAGTTCTTGAACTGGGCTTACGCTAAGTTGTAAGGACATTCCAGCTTCTGGTGCTGTACTGCCAGCATGAGGCTGGGAATGCACATGGAGATGGAGGAACAGAGCCAGGACAGCTGACCCAAACTGGCCAAAGGAATGTCCCATATCATACAGGGTCATGGGGAACAATAAAACTGGAGGAGCTGGCTAAGGAGCTGCCACTGCTGAGGAACTGAGTGTGCGGAGTGAAAACGTGGTGATCAATTGTTTTGTGCATCACTTGTCTTGCATATTCTTCTGTCATTATTATCATTGTTATTATCTCCTTTTCCTTCTATGTCCTATTAAACTGTCTTTATGACAATCCATGAGTTTCACCATTTTTCTACTTCTCTCCCCCCACTCTACTGTGGGAGGCAATAGCGAACAGCACCATGGTGCTGAGATGACTGCAGGGTTAAAACACAACAAGACAAAGAAAGAACAACTCAGCCTTCGGTAGGCCTCCTGCTAAGGATGGCAGCAACAAGTACAAACTACAGATGCACTGCCAACTATTCTTCCTAAGCTGAGTCACTTAGTGAGTCCGATTGAACTTCAGCAGCACATAAAAAACCCCCTCTTGCAGCATTCTGGAGGCTGATCATCAGATTTCAAAGTGTGATATGGCTCAGAAGCATCTTTCAAAGGAAAGTGATGATAGGCGGGTGAGAATCAGCCATGGAGAGAGACTTGCCGAATCAGCGACCTCACCTTTGATTGGGAAAATTCGATCCTCATTTGTTGCATTTATCTGAATTCTCAGGATCACGCTTGATTTCTTATTGTTGCCAGGAGTGGTAAAGACTGGTGATCTACAGTCTGAGACAGGACAGGAAATTCCTTCCTCTCCTCTCAAGCATGCTGTCGTCACAGTGGTGTGCAGCCATAGCACTAG